AAAAAAAAAAAAAAAAAAAAAAACATTTGATATGACGAGTCGACATCACTGCGGTTAAAACGCTAATGTGGTGCCAAGGGGCGAAATGAAAAATCATTCCGGTAAACGGACGGGAAAACGCGTTTCCTCGCTATCTCGCGCCATAAGTAACTCGGGAAAGAGGCGCGCGTCTCTCTCTCTATCTCTTTTTTCTCTCTCCTTCTTTCCCGTCCCAAGCAAGCGCGACTTCCATCATCTTTCTTTCGCGAGAAGCGAGAAAAGACAAAACGTCCGGCTGGTCGGGCCTTCTTGGCAACGACTCCGCCAACTTGGCGAAAATTGAATAGATAGTGGTGTGTGGCCTCGGCCATGCCAACTTTTCCAGTAGGAGCTGTCGGCGGAAGAAGAGGAGGAGACGAGAGCGAGAAAGAGAGAAATGAGAGTCCGTCCGGAAAAAGCGAGAATAATAAGAGGAAAGTGAGAAAGAGAAACGCTGCTCCGTGCTGCTTCCTTCCATTTAACGATAACGCTAAGATGACGATTGCGGGATTAGAGTGGGATAACTCTCGACTCGATTTTCGAAATTGTTCCTTCGCGCAGCGAGGAAAACGGTCGGCGAAACGTGCCGTTGGAACTCTTCCGCGAGAGAAAGAAAGAGAGAGAGAGAGAGAGAGAAAAGAAGAAGAGAGTGTAACCAGATCTTTATATACGTTACACACATTTATCTTTAACGTCACGCTGACTTTTCTTCGTGTATATATGTGATGTCCATAATTTTCGGATATTGTATCGCGTTAAATTAGTTCTTGAATTAAATCCTCTGGCACAAAGTTATTTCGAACAATTAACAAGCGAATTAATTATGATCAAGCATTTAATTATGATCTCAATAAAAGACAGGATTAGTTTATTTAATTTTTGTATTTAAATTTTCCTCTTTCGGGTCTTTCCAACATTGTAATCCAAAAAAGCAAGAAAATTTAAATAAAACGCGGAACGAGATTACATCGGGGTTTGTTAATTTGGTTGTGATATAATATTGCAATAAAATAGCTTTTTTAGACGAAAAATTTTGCGACTCTGATATTTAATTACAGTCATTTGTATAATCATTTCGTATAATCGTCATTTATTATTTCGTGAATTATTTTATATTTTCCGCGCGAAAGAGGCGCGCACGCACAATATACATTTCTCAATCGACTTCTCTCTCTCTGTATGACGTTTCAAAACAGAATTTCATTAATCACATCAACGAGAACAAAAATCATCAAAATTATTATGTAATTTACATCCATATGTAAATTTCCAAAAGAAAAAAAAATTTGTTAAAACTTCAAGAAAGTTTATCCGCACAAGAATCCCCCACAACGCGCGGATACACCAGTTTGATAAGAGTTAAACGGATATAAATCCCAAGAAGTTGACGAATGGTCCGGGGTTGGGATGTGAAAAGGTTCTTTCAAATGCGCCCGACAAGTCGTATAATCTGCGATTTATTTGACCCGGGCCGTCAAATACCGACCTCAGTGCGTTTATTCCCCGTAACTAGGAGAAGCCGGGCAAACGGATCTCATTTCAGCCATCGGGACCGCACTGTCACCCCCCCGTTCTGCCGAACAGAGAAACGTAGATGAGACGACGACGACGACGACGATGACGACCGTCGGTCGTCGTCGTCGTCGTCTCGCTTGAGGAGAGGCGGTTTGGTTTAACTCTCGGGAATCTGGGTACGAAACTATCCGACGAACTACTCGCAAGACAGTTTGCCCAGAACCGGATTTCTCAGTCCCGAAGGATGCCACCCTGCCTGCCACTTCTCTCCCCTACCCACACAACCCTCTCTCTGTCTCAACCCCCTTTTCCCTCGACCGTTTCGATTTGTGAAACTCCGCGTGTGCCTTCTCGAGCACACCGGCCGAATGACACGATGGCTCCATTATTGCGCGAGGAGCTTTGGGTATTACGTACGTGCGGCGGGAATATCAGATATCAAGCGCGTCATCGAAACTGTCAAAACGGAATGAGCGTGTGAAAAGACTTCTCGTCCGCGCGTTTGAGAAGTCGCCGGTTTTTTTTTTTTTTTTTTTTTTTTTTCCCTACAAAGTTGCTAATTAATTACATCTTCGCGTGATTGTCTCTAAAAGGCAAGTTTTGCGTAAAACAGAGGTTTTATTTTTTTCGAGCAAAAAGTTCTTTCTCTCTCTCTCGAGTACTTTATGTTAACAATTTTTGTAATACATCACGTTTAAACAATTTTGGTAAATTTGCGTACTAAGGACGACACCGATTTCAATGACCCTAATATATGTTGTCAGACATGTCCCCGAGTAACAATCAAAAAGCCGTAACTCGTTCTTCGTTAAAAAGTTACGAACGAAAAAAGCTTCTTTAATGAATCATCGTTTCTCGACTCACCGGGTAGATAGATTACACATAACATATGACATTTTTGATACGTATCAATATATGTCTTACGTACAAATGTTTAGTATGGAATAAATAAAAAATAACAACAAAAAAATTACGTTAAGCTCTTGGAAAGTACGTGCTTAGGGTGAGAGAGCGCATCCAGGGATACACAGGCTAAGTCCCTTTGAGCGCTCTTCTCACGTAAAAAAAAAACATAAGAAAACTTGGGGATGTGAAAAGTATCAATGGCCGAAAGTACTGCTGTCTAAAATATATATCGGTGTCGAAAAACAATCGGTTCAGTTATGAAAGTTTTTTCGTCTATAAACTTTTTAACAAAGAACGAAGAGCCTAATGGCTAAAAACCTTTTGATTGTTACTCAGGTCACTTTGACAATATATATATCATTGAAATCCATCAATACCACAATTTTCCACAAATGTGTAAAAATGATCGAGCCACAGATTCGTCAAAAAAAAAAAAAAAAAAAAAAAACGCGGAAAAGTATTGTCATCGATTCTCGTATTTTTTCGCGTCACCGTATGTGTGTCTACAATGTCGAATATCCGCCGGTGTAAAATCGCGAGCTCGGCACGCGGGCCGCAAAAATTTTTTGTTTAAACACCGGTTTCCCCGACCGGTTTGTTCTCCGTCAAAACATTGGAAGCGAAATTATGTGTCAGGATGTCTTTAAAGAGAGACGGGAGGAGAGAGACGACGCGCGGATTCTCCCGCGAGACGCGGACGGGGCGCGTCTCTCCTACGAACTACTTGCATCCGCGCGTTCGCGATCCCCTCTGAATGTTCGCTGAAGTTTCAGCCGCATCGAAAATTTTGGATTTAAGAGTTTACCTTGTCAGTTCGCGGACGAACCGCGCGTGCTTTGCCAGCAAACTTTATTCTCCTCGCGACACCGACTTATCCTCTCCGCATTCACTTGATAGATCAATTCAAAATACCTCTTGAATTTGATTTGCCATTCGAGAAAGAAAAGCATCGCGTTACCATTCTCGGAATCGCGACGAAAAACAATAATTTTTGAAAGAGAGAACTTGCAATATCACATTTATTTCTTGCACACGTCTTTTTGTACAATGTGCGATTGTGGTTTTTTATTATACCAGCACAAGCTTTGACGTGTTGCGTCGGTGAACACAGCCTGTCAACACGATTACAGCTAGTATATATGTATTACAAACCATATAATGTAATCCATATGAGAGATGTCAAATATAACGCATGAAAATCAAACTCGAAAAATAGTGACAGAAAAAAGTAAAAAAAAACAATACGTAACTACAGTCACGTGACTGAACTTTTGTGTTTTTAAAAACGCGACTAAAAAGTAAGATCATTGACCTCTCGTCAAAGTTCATTAACCTCTTCGAAGTTCACTGACCTCTCGTCAAAGTTTATTGACCTCTCGCCAAAGGTCATTGACCTCTTGTCAAAGGTCATTGACCTCTCGTCAAAGTTCATTGACCTCTCGTCAAAGTTCATTGACCTCTTCGAAGTTCATTGACCTCTCGTCAAAGGTTATTGACCTCTCGTCAAAGTTCATTGACCTCTCGTCAAAGGTCATTGACCTCTCGTCAAAGTTCATTGACCTCTCGTCAAAGGTCATTGACCTCTCGTCAAAGTTCATTGACCTCTNCATTGACCTCTCGTCAAAGGTCATTGACCTCTCGTCAAAGTTCATTGACCTCTCGTCAAAGGTCATTGACCTCTCGTCAAAGTTCATTGACCTCTTCGAAGTTCACTGACCTCTCGTCAAAGGTCATTGATCTTTCTCCTCACTTTTCAATCGCACGAATTTCGCGTATAAGAGACAGTACCGTGCGTTTTGATATGTACGACATAAATTGAGAAACACATCCTAGAAACGTTATTTGCACACTTTTTTTTCTGGTAGAAAATAAACATTTTTTATTATATAATTATTATTATTTTTTTCCACACATTACAGGTTCGCTTTATTTCCTGCACCGGCTGCACTTAGTTCACAGTTCATATTATTTTTATGCATAATAAAAGAAATAGAGTGAGAACTACTGTGAACTAGTGCAGTCATACAGGGAAACAAGACAAAACCTCTTGATTACGACGAGATTCGAGTTATGCTAACGAATGTTCTTTAATATCGGAGAGAATATTATACGCGGGGAAAAAATCGGATATATATAGTCAGCATAAATAGATAGTTAACGGGTCACATATCGCGCAAATAGTCTTTACTATTTAAGCTGTTTAATCGCGCATATACATACATATATATATATATATATATATATATCCGCGTACTTTGCGACAAAAAGAATTTCGCGCGGCGAAGCC